AGGCCATATGAGTAGAGGCTGAGGGATCTGGGACTCTTCAGTCTGGAAGAGAGAAGGCTCAGGGGGTACTTGGTAGCAGCCTACAATTCAATAAGAGGGGTACACCGGGAGAACAGCTGCTCACCAGAGCTCCCCAAGGGATAACAAGGTCTAACGGCCATAAACTCCAGGAAGGCTGATTTAGACTAGACATGAGAAAGAAGTTCTTTATGGTGTGTGTGTCCAGGGTCTGGAACAGACTGCCCCCAGAGGTGGTGCAAGCACCTGCTCTGGACTCTTTCAAAAAACATGTGGATATTTTTCTTGCTGGGATCACGTGATCACAGGTTATTTCCTGTCTATGGTGGGGGGGCTGGACACAGTTTTATGAGGTTCCTTCCAGCCTCTAATGTCTATGAAATCTATGAACTCTATATGTCCTACCCATGGTATACAGGTCCACGCAAACACTTTAAAGAAAGGTGGCAAGACACCAAGTCAGCCATGCATCGAAGAGCAAGAAGAAATCTGGAAGAAAGATGAAACACTCTTCTGGAGAAAAAAAATAGATAGATAGATAGATATTTTAAGTTCACTGAAGGTCTGAAGAATGCACCAAATCTAAATTAGATCTGTTTTAAATAACTCCCAGCACTGAGAAAATCTGTACAATGAGGGCCCTCATTCTTGGCTATTAACGAGGCCATCCCTAAACCTTGACTTTATTACTGGAAATGGCAGAGATTATAGGATTTAAACAAAACATTGGGGCTTGGGGGTTGTTTTTTTTCCTGCAGGACTATAATATGAGGTGGAAACAACCTTGCTGTAGGGGCATCTGTGGGCCTGGTGAATTATTTGTTGGTTTCTAGTTTTATTCAGTTGAATGTCATTCATAACATAGGTCAGGTGACTCTTGCCCTTACTGGCCCTTCATCAAAATCGGTGTTCAACTACAGTGATTACACCCTTGCCACTCAGTTTTCCACTGGCCTGTATTACAAAGACACCCCTGGGGAACATGAAACACTCCTGTTGGATGGTAGCAATCATGGCTACTTACACACCTAAAAAAATAATAACGGCACTTTAAACTTAGTGTGCCCCCAGGCTGAGCCCAGTGAATGCCAAAGAGGCATTGCATTGGTCAGATATCGCTCTCCTAACATCTGTATAGACTGGATGCTTCAGCAGGACTTTTCTGGAGCTTTTTTCTACTAGCTTTTATCTACTGCCATTCAATGATAGAATCCTTGTCTGCCACACAGGAAACCTGGGTTCAATTCCCAGACATTTCTACAAATACAGCTATGGAGGCACCAAATGGATTCAGTCTGGCTTTTCGATTCTGTCTCAGTGCCCTAAAGCGGGGGGATGGAAGGTATGGGCGGCCTCCACTCCTCCAAAACTCCTGCCTAGGCATATGCATTGAAAGTCTGGGTGCCTTCTCATGCATGCACCATGATCCAGAAGGATCAATGGTTGCCAAACAATCTAACAGATGATTGAATCAGCTTTAGATAAAAGCCCTGCTGAAGCACCCAATCTGTACGGATGCTGCAGAGCCAGGTCAAACTAACATGCTGCCACTTCCCCTAAAGCTCATTTAATTTTTTTTCCCCACATCTGCCAGGAGCCTATGAGTTTAGGAGGGTTTTGGAGGAGGGCAAATCTGACAGCCCAGAGCAGGGCCATTTCTACAGATAACTGTTTTTTCAAGGAAAACTTTTGTTGAATGCTTTGGATGTGAAAATTAAACTGACATGCAATAAAGAAATCTTCTATTTAATGAGCACCCCTGTACCTGGCCAATATTAACTAAAAATTACTGTATTTACTGAATCCAAGATGATTTTGAATTTAAGATGAATTTAAGATGCCTCTGGATCCATTCAAGGAGATCTGAATTAATTTTTGGTAAATTTTCAGTTTACCCAAAGGTTCCTATTTCCATCTTGTGTTTACACACGTTACTGCTTTTTCCCTTTTCAAGACACTGTGGGCATTTGTACATGTGCATGCGCTGCAGCACTAGGTGCTTTTAAAGGCACCTGGTGCTGTGGCACATGCATTTGTGTAAATGGTGAAATGCAAGACAGCACTGAGAAAATGGTGGCGGCACGCTTTTTAACTAAAACACATTAAAGCAAATTCAGGCAGCAAATTTAAGTGCAATTAGTTGCTGTGCAGTAACTCATGTGTAGACACAATCTGGCAGCAAATTTGCTGTTGGATCATGTTTAAATGTGTGTTACTGCACAGTAACTAACTGCGCTTAAATTTGTTACCTGCATTTGCAGGTATCAAATTTAATCATGATTAGCTATTTTTACTGTGCAGTAAGGGTATGTACATGTAGATGCTTACCTATAGTGTGCAGTAAGTTAGGCAAACACACAGTAATGCATCTCATGTAGAGTGCCCACTGTGAAATGGAATACAGTGGATATTTTATATCAGGGTACCCAAACTTTTGGGCCCATGGGATGGATGAATATTGTGGGGCAGTCTTCAGGGCAAAGGCCACAGATTCAATATGGCGCCCCAACCCTGGCCCCATGTTTTCCATGCCCTAGGGCCCAGGACTGACCCTGAACACACTGGCCAGATCCTGCATGTGGGGCCACATTACTGGGTTCATGGAGCTTGGAAATTTGGCAGTGGGGGAGCAGTGAAACCATTATTTGCCACTGATCTCCCAATGTACAGGCCGTTGGGGAGCACTGTGGGCCAGATCATGTGACTCCATAGCCCTGGGCTGGTGGTTGAGCACCTCTGTTTTACACAAAACCACACAGGCTGCTTCTGGATGCAAGTGCAAGAATTAAGATTTTTATTAGGAAATTTACACAAGTATGAAATATTTTCCTTTACTGAAATAATTTCTGTACCATACATTTAATTTCAATTATATTAAAAACCTTGGGAATAACCACTTCTTTCAATATTTCTAAAGATTAATGGGATATCACTGAGGAATTTTACAGTATAGTAAAACAACTGATTTTCACAATAAGTGTCAGGTTTCTCAGCATTAGTACTTTTCTTCATATCTCACTGGAACATTTATTTGAAGAAAACAACAACGTGGAAAGAATCAAACAGATTATTCCAATAGCTACAGACTTAATTCAAGGCTTGTAAAGGCCAATAGAGAGGTATCCGCTGACTTCAATTGACTTAGAAGGACATAAACAAAGAAAAATGTAGGTTTCATCAAATGTAAACCTACCCAGAACTTCAAGAGAAGTAATTCAGTTTAGGGCTGTTGAAATACCATATTTACTTGAATACAAGATGAGGTTTTTTCCCCCTAATTGGCACAAGAAAAAAGCCTGTTGTATTATAATAATATACAAGAAAGTCACACTAAATACATTGGGGATTGTTAAACTACTGCCAAAAGCAGTATGTGCTCAGCAATGGAAAACAACTATGATATTGACTAAATGCAACCAACACTAAGTGTGACTATGAAATACAAAAGCTATAGTGGATAAGCAGGCTGATGGCAACCACAGGTATGTCCAGACATGAATGGATATTTGGTTCTCTGGGGACAAGTAGTGGCGGTACACTTTGCACCGCTGCTACTTGTCCCTGAGGAAAGCCCATGCCACGCGTGCTTTGACACATGACAAGTTACCCGGGGGGGGCTGGGGGCGGGCAGTAGGGGAGGCTAAAACCAGCACTATGCTGGCCCCACCAGCCTCACCTAGGGTCCTGTGGGCCTCACGGGGCTGCAGGTGCAGCAATCCTGCCAGACAGAGCCTGGCCAGTAGCTGCAGCATGGCTCCGGGTGGCCTGGCTCCACTTTTCAGCAGTGCATGCTACCTGAGTATGCGCTCATGTGCTACTCCATTTCCTCTCCTTCCCACCCCCTGCATTTTTTGATACCTGGATCCAGGGGTCGAGAAAACCATAGAAAACAAAACAGAGCAGCACCCACTTGGGCAGTGTGCCCTTGCAGTGTGGAGATTGCTGGACTGTGCAGTATGTGGCACTGCAAACACGTTTGTGGCACCACATACTGCATGACCATGCTCCTCTGGACAGGCCCCATGTGCGTGCATATGAGACTCCCTAAAAGAAATTGTGGGTGCTCTCTCCATAGGGAACTAGTACAACCCCTGGAATCCCTGCAATATCAAAATAACATTGGAAGGGTCAGAACCAATCCTAATACCCTTCCCTTGGTGCCAAAAGGCTAAGCTAAACCTACCACAAGGATAGGTTAGGGCAGCCCACCTGAACAAGACATATACCCATTAAACATAGTCCTCTGGCAAACATGATGAAACAGGTCTCAAACAGTTCAGCCAGAATCCCTCTGTCACCCCTCTCTCAATCTGGAACATATGACTAGTGTGCCCCACTCTCCATGAGGTGGAGTCAGACCAGGCTGCCCTTTGCCTCATTTGCATATACAGTTTTGGAGGATCCCAAGACCTGTGACAAGGATACCCAGTTCTGTTCATGAGTGGGAGCTAATTAGCACATGAATCCTTTGTTGGGGGGTATCTGTAGTACACAAACATGCTGAGCAGTGCTGAGCTGTGGGGTCACTGTGGCTTGTAATGCTATTAACTCTGGAGGGGCCCAGCCCAGTGAAATACATGATAAGTTATGAGTCTTTGGTTCTGGGCAGATATCATGCATAGTTTGCACCCCATACTAGTAAATGCTAAAATCCTGTTCCAAAATGTGTTTATGGCATGCTTGTGTTAAAATTTACAGCAGTTTCAAAAAGAAAAAAAAAGTAATATGCATTGATTCTGAATGAATTAAATATATAGGCATTATATGCAGGCATGTTTGTTTTCAAGGTTATTGTTTTCCAATTTGCTTTGTGCTTTTATATGTTCAGGGAGAGCAAAGTCTGACAGTAACAAGAAAAAGGAGGGGCTACCGAGGAAAAAGCTGGGGAGAAGCAAAGAGCAAAGGGGCTGTCTGATCCTCCAGATTTATTTTTCCTGCTGTAACAGTTGAAAGAGGACAAATTCAAGGCAAGCCTCCAATAATAAGATTATATATCTAGAAAATTATAACAAAATTATACATTTCCCATACATAGGAACTAATTATGGGGTGGGGGGTCATTTTATAATCAGAGTCATCTTCTATTCACGTAAATACGGTAAAAAGCAATTCTCTAATTTACAGTAGCAGAGAATCCATCCTACATTATTTCTTCAGTGTTTCTTGCTATACATGACATTTTTAAGAATGAGTTTGAGAAATTACAGTACTTATTAGTCTAAACATAGTTATTTCATCTTTCATATATCCCTTTAAAAATTCAAATAAGAAGTGGTTGAAAGTTTCCCATGAATACATCCTGCCTTGATGCAACTAAACTTGCAGTAGCAATGCTACGCCAGCAAGGACCCACTTGGAAGGGTTTTCTTTAGTTTTAAGGTTAAAAGTCCACACGTAAGTTGGCCCCCTTTGACGGGTTTTGTACACAGGACATGGATACACACTGCGAGTGTCCTGTTTATCAGCAGGTATGGCTCTGGTGAAAATAACAGGCACAGCTGGGGTGAGTTCTTTCAGCCTGGCATCTGTGATTATCCCAGTCTGTAGAGAAAAGAACATTTTTTTTAGTTGCTACCAACCAAGCTCTTCAACACCAGCTGTCAACTGTGACCCTAATATGCATTATCATCAATAGCCTCCAGCAACTTCCACAACCTGTTTCCAGCCATGTGTTTCTTCTTGTCTCTGTCCTTTAACAACTGCTGCTGCTTGTGCCCCTGGCTGAATATAACTGTGTTATATAAAAGGAAAATATAAAATTTTTCTTCCTGTGAATAACTGTAATCTCCCCTTCCCCCATTCCTACACAAGTCACTTTTCCCAGAATAAAATGTAAAAAATTTGGCTTCGTTAGGTTAAGCAACAGAACAAACAAACAAACAATGCCCCCCCTCCCCCTCCCCACAATTTGTCTAGGATCCAATAAATAAATACCCTGTTTCTTTTGGACTCCTGTTTGGTTCTCAGTCTGGATCCATGTAACATACTGCAGTGAAGACACCATCTATTGCCCGCCACTCCCCCAGAGAAAAGAAATTATAACATTTTTCTTGCTGTAAACTGAGAATATCAAATTCCCGATATACTGTGACAAGAAAATCTTCTGGTAATAATGTGAAAGGACAGTCCTACTGGTGCTGGGCATGTACATTTCAGAGGAAAAAAAGTACGTATGCTTTTGGATAGGTGCAATTATCTTCCTTCACGTATTAAAATGCATGTGGTAGAGGTGAGTATTTTGAGATATGAGTAGTCAGTGTCAAACATATCAGAAGGTTTGCTGTTATGTAAATATTGAAGGAGAAAGAGTGCAGTTATATACTAACATTGTCTTTTATTTATGCCGCAGTCTTCAAACTTACTCTTGCCCAAGACTTCATAGGAAAATAACTGAGGATTAATGGCTAATCCTGAAATTCCCACTCAGTTTTTATACAATCTTTAAACAAAAAGAACACCCCCTAATTGATGTCTGACTGAGAAAGAACTGAGTAGGGTTCAAGACTAGGATGTAGGTTGTAACCATGTGCTTTTATTATTTGTGTTGAAATGCACTAAAAATTAACCATGTCAACACTTCAACTACATCTTGGATAACCACTGTATCACTCTTGAAGGTTTGTGTCAATATGCTCTCCATCCCTAGTAGGATGAGGAAATTAGGAGTAATGAAGCAGAGATCCTGGGGGGATGCCAAAGCCTTTCCTTTTCCACTGTATCAACAACTTCTGCTGCTAGTTCAATCAATACGTGAACTCACATACAGCATTTATGCCCCAAACATGTGGCAGCATGCCATTACAATGTAATCAACTGGGCATCTCAATCAGCAGCTGGCCTCAAACTGATTGGGGTGGGCAAAATATGTCTCATGGGCCAATTCCAGCTCATCAACTAATTGGATCTGGCCTGAGGGTGGCCACCCAGGCAGGGTGTGTGGGAGCACAGCCTGAGCTGCCCCGGGTAGGAGTGGGTGGGACTCAGCTTCATGTGGAACACTGTGGGAGGAGCTGTGGGCCGGGGGGGGGTGGGGAGCAGACTACACCTGCACTTCACTGCACCGCCCAGGCAAGCTCTATTGCATGTGCCCCTTGCTTCCCTTTGCTCCCTCCCTCCACCCCAAGCCAGCTCCAAGGACCTAATATGTGCAGGCAGCCCTCTCCACAAACATACCCCCCTTCCCCCCCACAATATACAAGACTTTATTTGAGCTATTATGAAACCACCTCTATATAAACACTCCTCAAAAAAGCCCATAAATCAGGACAAAAAATATTTTTTGAAATTAAAATACTATAGATTGTTACTATAGATGCTTGATTTTTAGTGTATGTTTTTTAAATCTATCATTTATTAAAATTATACCTTTTGAAAGATTTTATGACACACCTCAAGACATAACACCCTAACCTGCCACAGGTATAGCAGGGGGACTATGGTGGCCAACATCCTTGCTTCTGTAAAGGTTGTTTAATATATGCTCAAGAGATCCCAGGAGGAGGGCCATGCCCTCTGCTCCAGAGGAAGGCAAAAACCCGCACAGCCCATACCAATTTGACCATGGGGTAAACTTCCTTTCTTGTCCCAAATATGTTGATTGGTCTGACTCTGAGTGGAAGGGTAAGACCCTCTAGCTGGGAAACTCTGGGTTTAAGTCTCCAAAGAAGCACTGGCACACCCCAGTCAAAATCCCCACCCTTTCACGCAACTAACACCTAATCACCCTGAGGAAGGATTTTAAAAGCCTTGATACTTGTAGCAAACAGGGGCAGAGGGAGGAAGTTAGAGCTGTGTGAAACCACACCATTTCATTTCAACTTCTGTTTTCCCATTTTGAAGGGACAGTGTTTCATTACACTGTTTCATTTCATTGTGAAGCACAGTTCTGTTTCATTTAGTCGAAACTGTTTAGCTGTTTTGACATTTCACCCATAGGCTATAATGGGGAATCATGAAAATGCATATAACCTTGTCATGTCTTCCCTGATTCAGATGAAAATTGCAGGAATGGTAGTCCCTTCTGAGGGCATGACGTCTGCCAAGTTTCAAGGAGATAGGTGCCGAGGGTTTTGTGAAACTGCACCTCAAACAGTTGAAAGCAAAACTCATTTGCCGGCAGCCTGCTGTCATCCTGTGTGCAGATCTGGGGGCCTGCACCCCTGCGAGGGTTGTGGGACTGCTCCAGACTCCTCCTGGTGGTGCGGGCCCCCAGATCTGTGTGCAAAATGACAGGAGGCCGCTGCTGCTACCTGGGAACAGCGCTGGGTACAGCGTGCACCCAGCCCTGGGAAGACTGCTGCTGGCTCCAGGCAGCAGCGGCAACCTCTTGTCATCCAGCACACAGATTTGGGGGCCTGTGACCCCCAGGAGGCCCATGCTCAGTGGCAGTACTGGCAGGGCAGGGCAGGTGGGGGGGACTACAGAGAATTTTGGGGTGGCAGCAGCCCCACTTTGATCACTGCGGCCCACCCTGAGCACTGGGGAGAGTCCGGTGCTGCCCCTGCTGCAGCCCTGGGAGAGGTGGATGCCACCTGCCTGCAGCTGCTGGGCTGTGCCATGCCAGGGGGGTTGGGGCATGATGCAGCCTAGTGGCTGCAGGCAGGCAGCTTCTGCCACTCCTGGGGATGCAGCAGGGGTGGTACCAAGCTCTTCCAGGCATTCGGTGCCAGTGCTGGGAGGGCAGGTTGAGCTCCATGAGGCTGGTGGAGCCACTCAGAGCACAGCTCTGGCTCTCCCCACCTCCCACTGTTAGGCTGCACTCCAAGGAACTCCACCAGTCCCATAGAGCTGAGCCTAGTGATGGGAGGCAGGGGAGAGCCACTGGCCAGGGCTGTACTTGGAGCCAGGGCTGCACTCTGAGCAGCTCCACCACTGGCTCTCCACTGCCTCCCACCAGCAGGCTCAGCTCTGTTGGGCTGCGGAGCTTCCAGCCACTGGGCTGTGCTTGGAGCTAGGGCTGCACTCCAAGTGGCTCCACCAACCCCATGGAGTTCAGCCTGGTGATGGGAGATGGCAGAAGAGCCAGTGGTGGAGCTGCTCAGAGCACAGCCCTGGCAAGCACAGCCTGGAGGTGAGAGGCTCCACGGTGCTGCAGAGCTGAACTTGGTGGTTGGAGGCAGCAGACAACCACTGGCCAGGGCTGTGCTCGGAACCAGGGCTGTGCTTGGAGCGGCACTGCTACTGGCTCTCTGCTGTGGCCTGCCACCAGGCTCAGCTCTGTGTGGCTGGGGAGCCTCCTGCCACCAGGCTGTGCTCACCAGGGCTGCGCTCGGAGCCAGGACTGCACTAGAAATGGCTCCACCACTGGCTCTCCTGCCACTGGGCTGAGCTCTGTGGGCTGGCGGATTTCTTGCCTTGCAAGGCTTCTTTGTTAACCTGTCATATAAAGGGAAATAATCCTGCTGCACCCACTAAAGATATTCAGCATATGAAGTATTTATCCAGGGCAGAACAAGAGTAACACCTGCTCACAGCATCCTTAGTATTGACATTGTCAGTGTTCTTAGTGACCACTAATAAACTCACAGTGCATCTCTGCAGCAGAACATAAGATCATAATTTAGGAAAAGCACTAAGTCCAAGGATGATGATCTCATTTTGAACATCCCCTAATTACCCATTCTGTGATAATTTTTTTTAAAGAGAAAAGGCTTATTACCTTAAAACCAACAAGAATAGAAGCAGGCAAAGAAGGAAGGGCTGCCCAACTTCTTAGTTGCCAGGGGCCACACTTGCCATGGGCCATACCAGCAGGGGCCACATGACATGAAGGCCACATCAACATGAATCATGGGCTCCCTGGGTGCTGTCCAGTTACATTGAGCACAAGGAGACTCCCCACTCCTGCAGCACCAGGCATGTGGTAAGTGGGTTTTTCCCCTACACTGCATTGGCCATGGGTGCACTCCCTAGTCCCCACTGCACTGTGCAGATGCCTCTACTCCACCTTCAGCTCCCTATTCTTGGGCTCCTCCCCTGCACTGCATTGTATTGCACTGCACTGCATGGCACGGCACCAGTGCCAAACAGCACAGGCTTCTCTGAAATTGTGGATGTGCCATGCTGCTCCATCCCATCCCCTGGGGCAGACTGGAAAGCAGAAGCAAGAGGGAGAGGGAGCCTGAAGCCTCCGGCTGCTTCTGCTGCAGTCAAAGTGATGTGTGGTGGGGTGTGGGGGCTGAGTGGGAGCCCTGGGGCTGCAGACTAACCCAGTGTGGATCACATGAAGCCCATGGGTTGTTAGTTGGACAGCCTTGCTCTAGGAAGCAGGAAAAGAAAAACAAGAAAGAGGTAGCTGAAGAATCAATGAGATGACTGGAATACATTACCAGGGGAGAACCTGAGGAAATCAAGTGACTATATGAGCATGCACCTGAGGTTTGTGGCACCCCAAAACACATGGTACAAATATATGCTGCTGCTATTTGTCCCATGGGAAATGTGGACCCCTGCACATGCGAGCTCCTGAGGATGCACCCCATGGCTCTGAAAGCAGGAGTGAATGGGACAGGGGTCCAAGTAGCATTTTCTTCTACCCTTTC